ATAAGAGTTGGGATGATGGGAGGTTTTTTTCTCACTTTTTGTGAGGTACCTCTGATTCTCTCAAACTTTTTCTCCTTCACTCTATCTCACATTTCCACTATCTTTTATCATGCCCGCCCACACATTAAGTCTCTTAAACTTCTCTTATCTCCAGTGGGTTTTCCAGCACAGCGATAAGTCCCACATCTTGGTGTCTATTTAAGTAAAAAATGTACAGACGCCTGGGCGGAGGTTCACCTAAACAATTATCTTTTAAACTGAGTAATTTACTTTCTGTGAAATAAACTCAGGATGCAACATATCAACACTGAAAAAGCTTTTAGAAATATCACCAACAAATGAATACATACCAACAAAGACCGGATGGTATTTGTACAGTTTTTTAACTTCAGCCATCAAAACAGATGTGCAATTATGCATCTGTCCTGCAAGTATTCTCCACTTTCTTTCTTGTTGATGTCATATTTCCGAACGTAAATTTGATTGTTGATATTCATATACGCCAGAGGATGACCGCTATTATTTTTGCCTTTGTCTAGAATCACCATTTGCTGAGCACCTTGAAACCTTTGTGTATATCAGCTGTGTGAGATGAGAACACTTTTACACAACTTTCCATAGCTAAGGATAACCAAAGGTTGAAAGTATATTTTCAGTAAACTAACCTTTTGTCACCCATGTCTGACAGTGTCTACAAAGCAAAGAATGATTCACTTTTTAGTGCACAGAGAAAAAAAACAGAATTCAACTGTGAAAAAAAGAGGCAAAACAACACAAATGTGTGGAGATGAGATAAAAAATGATATAAGAGGCTTATAAAAGCAAGCCAAACTCAAAGCAAATACAAACAGAATAACATCAAAAAGAGACGAGCAATGAAACATCTGACTTGGATAACAGTATCAAAACAGGCAAGAGAATGAAACATAATGGAAAATTGTAAAAAAAGTTGCAGAGGTTAATGTTTCAGATAACAACCAAAATCAGTGGTGGGATGTTTTCACATGCCAAAATAAGATGCATTAAAGTCACCAGGAAACTTGACAACAACTCCCATTTTCCGGTAAATTGACCTTTTTAATGTTTGTGTCTGAAAGAAACATAGCATCATCATGTCCTTTATAGCACAAGCTTTACATCAGATGACACTTTTCCTTCTCCAAAGAGAACATCTTTATTTTCTATAACCTTGGATAAAGCAGGATAAGCACTCTCAGCTACAAGCAAAACAAAGCGAGAAGGGGAGAAGTGTTAGATTTTATAGGTCCGCAATCAGATTCAGTTTTACCTGTAAGGGTGTCTCTGCACAGTGTCATAAAGATTTTTATGAAGCAGTCCATGGGCAGAGAAGGATTAACACTGTTAAAGAACATAAAGACATCTCTTATTTACAAGTGCAGGTATGTCAGGAGAGGGAGTGGGGATCAATAGGTGATGACTGTTTGTTCTACAAGACAGTTATTGAGTACTGACAGCCAGTAGCGCATACCCCGAATAGTCAAATGATTTGATGCTTCGATGGGCGGAGCCTGATTACACTGTCAATCTCACAGTCGAAGCTTCGCAGCGAAACGAGAATCACGCCATTTTGGTGATGCTCAACGTCTGATTTTACATAGAACTACCAGTTTTCTCCCAATAACTTAATATACAGCCTATTACAATATATATTTCAACGTTTAATGCTGTAAATAAAAAAAAATTAAAATCAATAAATGTTTTTAAAGCGAATAAATCCAAAATTGTAACCCTAACCCTGGGTTGTCAGTGCACATGTCTAGGCGTAGCGTGTATGTGTGTAGTGGCAGTGGAGGAACACTTGCTGAAACGGAGCCCCAGCTTCACTGGTGTTGTGCCGAGTTGTCCGCAACTCGACTTTCGGATAATTGATCACTGTTGATGAACCACGGAAAGAATCTTATATCGTTTTTAAACAGCCGGCTACTTGAAATAGACCCGCGAGGAACCTCGACGTGCATGCAGTTGTTGGCAGCACGGCGTGCACGCAAAACTCTGCATAAGACTGGTGAATGGCAGGAGAGAGAGAGAGAGAGAGAGAGAGAGAGAGAGAGAGAGAGAGGTGGTTAACAATAAGCCAATAAGTGGGTCGCAATCACAATGCACAAAAACACACATGATTCGACTATCAGTCGACTATAGGCAGGACTTGACGATTCTGATTACGTAAATAGCCCTAAAAGCCAGAAATCACCTAAAGAGTGTGCAATAAATCCTCCAAATTAATTGACAAATAAATTGGTAGTTTTATGGTGTGTTAACACTATGATTAGAGTTTGGTTAGGTTGAGGTTAACATTGTAGTTTGGGCTAAAGGGTTAGGGTTGGGGACCTTCATTGTCAGGCTAACAATAATAAACGAAGAACAGTTGTTGGAATCCGATGTTTTGTTGACCCATCCGTCAACCCTTACCTCGTCCATATGCGGTTGCTGTATAATAACGTGACCTTACTCCTGCCTTTGCCCCTGTCATAATTACAATGGCTGCTACAGGGCTTTGTCACTTAACAGAAACAGTATGTCGTTTTGGGGCTCTTGCTGAAAAGATGCTGTTGTTGTTGTTGTTGTTGTTGTTCATGGGAACACAGTCTCAGAATGTTCACTGTTAGTGATTCGTATCCCAATCGAACCCCTGCAGAGTATTTTCAAACATCAGAAACAATGTTTGATCTCCTGACAACCAGCCTCCAGCACTTGGATTAGTGACTCAGAAACAAGAGTGTTGGATGCTTATTACTATTACATTTAAGGACCATGGCATTTGCATACAGCAGCAAAAAAGTATAAGGGAGAAAGTTAGGGGTGGATGGTTGGTTGGATGGTGGATTTTTCCTACCTGTAGTTTCTTCTTTTCTGAAGTGAAAGCTTATTTTTTGATCTAGTGTCCTGAGCCAACCGTAAGGACTGGAATCAAAATGTATTTTTCTAGACATTATAAAGGGAACGTTGCAAGTCATAAATTGTGGTTCCTCACAGTCCTGATCAAACCGGGATTTATTCTCTGATTAGTAGAGTTGGTGTGTTGAGGCTAAACTTACACTGTTTTAGCTGGAACAAGCAGTAACGTCGTGCAGTGCCACCAAACAAACACATTTCTGTTCATGGTGGTTCTTGGTCTGTTTTCTTAGCCATATTTTCTAATTCTAGTTTCACATTTTAACAAACAATCAGATATTGAAGGGTTAAAAGAGCTAGAGCCAATCCATTTCCCATCCATGGTGGCTTTTGTGTGTGTGTGTGTGTGGCAGTGGGGTTAAACCAAAGAAAAATATATCTGTTAAATCAATGTTCTACATCACTATCAGATTAAATGTCCACATAATCAGCAACTTTAAGAACACACACACACACACACACACACACACACAAGCACACACACAAGCACACACACACATATCCGTAAATAGTATAAATAGGCAACACATACAGTATGCTGGTGTAGTTTTTACAAACATTTTGAAGTGTGGGCTTTTGGACTTTTGGACTAGCTACAGGCACACGCACACACACACACACACACACACACACACACACACACGCGCGCGCACGAACACAGTTGTAATTATGTGGAAAGCACAGTGGCCGTTTCTTTTCATTGATGTCACCATCCTGTGATTGGTAGCAGTAATAAAGTTGATCTAAAGATTCAAGAGGTACATGAGAAAGGACAGTAATAGTGTTTGATTATCTGTCTCAGTTTGACTTAATGTGTGTATGTGTGTCTCTTTGTTTTAGAGAAAAGAAAACAAGGTCCCTTAATAGCTCCTCTAACGTAATTAGCGGTGTAAAAAAAAAACATGGTGATGGAAGCATGTGTGCACGCAGATGCACAACATGCTGTATGTCATGTCCGTTACAGTGTCAGTCATGGTAAACGGCAGATCATTAGCCAGCTAGAAAGATACAAAATTAGCATCATGTGACAGAATCATGCAGACACTTAGGGGGGAAAACCAACAGTAAATGCAAACCAACAAACATCACTTTCTCAAACTATAAAATGCACCGCAGAAATAACAATCACATGCTCCAAGGCATGTGACAAATACTAGTGTGAGAGCAGACATGCTTCACATCGCCTGTCTACATTCAAAATAAACGTGGAAATGGAGAAAATATTTAAAAGGAAGACATGCAAAAAGTGACTGAAGCACTGGCAAAAGGGCAGGTAAAATGATCAAACACATATTGGTGTAATTTACTCTGCAAAGCTAATGTGAAAAGTGAGCTTTGAAAACACAATATATTGACAATACATGCACACCAAAATGAAGTTTCCCTTTCTCATTCTGTCTTCTGTCTGTCTCAGTCTTTATGCAGTGGTCACCTATAAAAAGATGAAAAATTAATGTATTACTTAAAGATTTAAAGCACCTATGAAGTTAACCTTTCTAGGTTCAAGGTTTCTGTGTGGCTTTGACCCGACATCCAGGATCCCTGAGAAGCAGGGAAGTGACACAATATTCACACAGACCTACACTAGCACATTAAGCGGGCTTTATATCCAGAATTAATAATGAATTAATATATATATATATTGATAATAGTCTGTATATATGAATCATGGGAAACACACTGCAAATAACTGTAGACGCACTATAAAAGATTCAACTGCAAAATGTCCCATATTTAAAAAGCAGTATTAAGAACATTTCAGTTCTGGTTTAGAATTCTGCATGGGTTTGAGGATTGACAGAGGATGCTGCGTTTGGCAAGCTCCGTTCAAACTTAGATCACAAATGACTGGCACTGAGCTGGCAGGGTTTTTTTTTTTTGTAAAGGTTTTTTTTGTAAATCATGTGCAATTTCCAAAGTAGCTGAAAGATGTCTGGCAGGTATGACCTTCTGCTGACCCCCCTCCCCAATCTGTGTTCGCCACAGAAGGAGACAGTCTGCTGTTTGATTTATATTGTTAAAAAAAAGCTTATGCAGCCAATTCAGACTGATCTTATCCATTGATTTACCTGTGTCCACTATGTTGACAGCAGCTTCTTTTACTGCAAAAGAACAGCGGCTCTTCTTTGACCACCTGTGGGTGAGTCCAGACACAGAAAGGAAACACATTTTAGCCACATGTATTGGCAATATTGTCTTTTTCGTCAGTTTGACTGAGCTCTTTTGATTTATTTGTAGGCAAAGCAGTATCACTCGTCCAGACACGATAGCACTCTTTCCTTTATGACTGTCTGAAGTCCACGGATTGCTTTCTGTCTGGTCCCTCACCTAGAACTTGCCACGAGAGGTCCTACCAGGACACCACAGCTCCCCAGGTCATGTGGCGTGCAACGCAGAAATTGACTCACCTTACTTATATCTAACATTTCTGGAAGTGCAACACACTCAGTGTCTCTGCCATATAATGTTTTTTGTACCTGCTGCTCCTCTGTTGTGTTTATGTGAAGTGTTTGTATTAGATTGCATACTTAATTAGTAATACTTAACATCAATATGTTTAATTGAGTGCAGATATAGATTCAGGACTTCTTTTCTTCAGGACTCTCTGCAAAGAATAATGTTATACCTAATTTGAGTTTCAAGCCACTGAAAGTCAATGACAGTGGTTAACAATAGTCTGACATAGACATAGACATAGTGACAATCACTTACTACAGTCAAGCTCAATCTCTTAGCTAACTGATTCACTGACAGACCAACTGCCTAATTGAATGACTCACTGGCCAGCTACATTACTGCTTGCTTACTGATTATGTGACTGTTTTTTGCAGATCTGATCCAGCCACCCAGGAGAGGATTACACTGGATCACTCTCTCTCGCCTCCTCCATCTCTAACTGCATTCTTCCCTACAATTCCTTTAGTCCATCAGTCCTTATCCTTCACCTCATCTTACAATCCTGGTCCAACCTAGCTCTTCATCAGCTCAATTTCATAATTTCTTCCCTGCTCCCTGATTTATTACCCCTTTTATTTCACCTCACCCCTGTTTGCTTGTTATTTGTCTGAATCTTTCAGTCTTTTCTACTCAATATGCAGTAAGATATCATAAACATTTGAGGATGTTTATATGTTGGTGAAATGTGGGAAGTCTGGGATGTGGATCCATAATGCATAAAACCCTTACAAGACAATGTCAAATTGTGTACAAAAGCTACCGTTGTCATTGGGTAGAATGAAAACTGTTTTTTTGTTGTTTTTTTTTTGTCTGTAGCTCTTCACAGCACAACTGGGCTACACGGAAATTAGGCTTAATGGCTCATTATCTGTCAAGAGGGAACAAAACCCTGGACCTTGTGGACCACAATTGCAAAGTACCTCGTGTTTCCTTACTGTACCATTTAACCACAGCATGTAATTTTCTCTTATGCAACTGTATTACATCACTCAAGCAAAAATATTTTACAATATGCTACATTAATAAAGCTAATGTTGCACCTGTAATGCTGCAACAGGGCTTATTAAATCCCAAACTCTTATTTTCTGTTGACTACTCTTGCCACACTTTTCCATGTCCTTCAGAATTATGACATGTTTTGTTGCTGAGTCAGGTGATAAAGTCAGAGCTAGTAATTGTCATGGCGACACACAGATTGATGTCTCGGTGACATCCTCTGTAAATTAACCCAATTAGGATCATACAAGAAATGCCACATTTTACGCTTTCAAAGGTAAGAGGAGCAAAAAGTATATTGAGAAAGGAAGGGAGAGAATAGAGAGAGGCATTAAGAGACAGTGAGTGAGATCCAGAGAGGGACAGGCGCGAGCAGAGAAAATAATGACAGAAACACAGGTATGAAACTCCTCCAATCATCCCCCCTGTGGCATCAAAGACAGACCAAACAAAATCACCTGATTTCCTCCTTTGTTCCACTGAGCCCTGCTGACTTAGAAACCGCTGTTGCTGCTCCCATGATAGACTTCAAGGAAATAACCCATCATTTTCCACTCAGCAAAATCATCCATTACGCTCCAATCGAAAGCACCAGGCTTTATCTGTCTCAAAGATGCAGAGAGAGAGACGCATAGAGAGAGATAGCGGAGGAGAAAATTCAAATATATTAAAATATGCAAGAGACACAAAGAAAGTGCACAAGGGAGGCAGTGGATTGCAAAATCAAATCAAAAACTCAATTGAGTGGCACAACAGATAGATATACAGATATAATTTGGCTGATTTAGTTTTGAGTCATCTGTGATTTTGTCCTATCAGTCACAATGAATATGGAGCTATCAACAGGCCTGGTGGGTAGCAGTGATGAAATTGTTTGAGTCAGTGTGCTCCTTTTGTTATTCCTGTTTTTGAATGGTTGGGAGGAAGTAGTAATAGCCCCAGTTTACAGTTCAATCCACTGCACACAAAATGGCCAAAAATAATATTCATTCAAAAATAAAATAAATAAATGTAATGTTAAATGAATCCATTTTTGTCCCATGTACATAAAGTACATTACTGTACCAACATAATATCATCATATATCATAATAAATATCAACAACATCTGTGTCAGTATGCGTCCTGTTTTGTAGAAACATTTTACCAGGACCTGCAACTCTGAAAACACTTCTTGTGAAATAAGGTGGATAGACTGTATATGTGGTGATTTTAAGACTAGCTTGTGATGGCATGACATTCTCCATCTCTAAACCCTCATCTCTGTTTCTCTTATATAAAGGAAAGGCCATATAAAATAACCTTTAAACTAGAGAAACTGAGCTCCATTCCCCACTGGTTTAGCGTACAGAGGTTTACTGTTTGTGTGAATAGGGAATATTGACATTTTGACCCAACTAGGAACTAATGTGTTGTTGAATCTATGTATGCCCTGGAACCCCTTTGTGTTTACAGGACACACACCAGCTAGCCAGATATACACAAAACCACACAGACACTCAGACAAACAACATAAAGGTTCATAAGTAACACCAATAGACTTATAATACAACCTATTTCATTGAAACACACACACACACACACACACGCACACAGTCCATACAATCAAAGTACCTGTACACATAATGTAAGCTTATATGTTGCACAAATAACTAAGGCGCACGTATGCTTACAAAACAGATACACATGCACAAATGCAGACTCCCTCTTTTTATTCAGGTGTGTGTTTGTGGATCTGATCAGAATTTAAATCTATCAGAGGGTGATTGACGGCTGTCATATATTTTTTTTTTCATCTCCCTTCTCACTTCGCTATTCCCCAGCTGTCTTTCTTTTCACACATCACCCTCCTCTCTCTCCATCTTTTCATGTCTCTGCCTGTCTGGCTGACTCCCTGTCTTACTCTCGTTCTCTGTCATCCTCCCTGCTTAGTATGCTTGTTAGTCTCCCGCAGTGTGGGCTCAGTGTTTTGTGAAATTACTCACTCGCAGTGTTTTCTTTGTAGTAGGATTAGTCGGTATCTATTTTTCCATACCTTCCTTCATTTCGGGTATATACGGTATATGACGGTATTTATGTGAAAAACCTAAAGAAAAAAAGACAAGTCTTGCCGGGTTTAACTTCTTATGGCCCGTAGAACAATGGATACATTGGACATAAGCGGCTTCTTCTATAAAATCTTGCTTGCCGATGACACAGATATCGATACATCGGTGGGCTGAGCGGTGATGATGTGCACACAGCTTTGCCCGTGTTGGCTAGTTCACCTTTATCATTGAGACAAAATAGTCCCAAAAGATGGGCATAGGCATTTTTCTTGTTAACTAGTCTTGTTATCTCTACCACTTGCAGTCGCCATCGAGTAGCTTCTTTATATTTGCAGGTTCCCGTTTATCACTGAATAAAGGCTGTAAGTGTTGTCTACTGTCTACATTATGTTTTACCCTTTCCTTTGCATGGTCCCATTATTACAGTGTATCAGGATGCACAAGTGCCAAACACTGTGTGTGTGTCTACAACAATATTAATAAAATAAAATGATGTGTATTTACATAAAATAGCATTAAACAGCACATCAGAACAAATCCTTCAGCTGCTAAATGAGAGTGAACAGGAGGTTGGTAACATTAGGAGAGCTTCTCTGCTAAAAAAACTGAACCTTTCTGGATGTACAAACCCAAAGCTTCTGTTAATCCACCAACATTGCCAGTGAAATGCTGTCGGAGGAGCAGCCTCAGGTGTGTCTCTACATAACAGTTTAGCGTCTGCTGGTCTGAGACTGAATGAACTAAATCCCGACCATCAGTGGGACTTTATAAGGATCCAATGCTGTTTTTTTCACAAACAGCCTCAGTGTTATTTAGGCAGCTATGCACAAAGAAACTTTGGTAGAAGTGTTTAATTAGCTAAAGTTTTACCCTTGCCAGAGAGGTTACATTTTCTGTTCTGGTTGTGTGTTTATTCGTTAGAAGGATTCAAATCTTGTTCCTGAATTCCTTGGTCTAGTATTTACCTAGCCTTTTAGGGAACCCTATTTTAGCTGTTTATATTTTACCAATTTCCCTACCTCTCATACATCTTGTTCAGTTTTTGCTTACAAAATAAGTGTAGTCTATGATAAATTGCCTGAATATAAAAAAAAGCACATTCAACAACTCTGTTGAATTTTCACCTGGAAGTGCCACCACATCAGTGATGAGTTTAGTTTTTCAATATTAGTATCTGTCTCAAACATCTAGGACCACTGTAGTACTGTGCATGTTCACATAATCCAAACTCAAGATCTTAAGAGTGAAATTCACTTGACTGTTGTTGAACGTATTAGCTGTTTCGAAGACTTTTAAAGCATCTTAAACAAGGAACTATTTTCAATTGTTTGTGTTTTTGTATTTGGATGCTGACATTTATGCGTCTAAAGCCATATAGCACAATGATTACTGCATTGATACAGTAAACAGAGCCTTTTTTGAGCTTTCAGATTAAGGTGTCCCCATCTTCACTAAATGATTGCTGCACTGCTTTTACTAAGAGAGGGCATTTAAAAAAAAAAAAAAAAAAAAAGTTTCCTGTAAAGTTCTCACAATGTGTGAAAGAAAAGTTGGCAGGTAACAGATTTATTTTTTGTTTCATTCCACCAGTCCAGGTCTCTCAGAAGAACACTGAGGAGAAATATGCTGCAACGACTGAGGCAGCAGTAATGGAGGATAAGTGCAGGGAGGAAGCAGAATGGTGGGATTCTGATGACTCAATATGTGAAATATATTTCAAAGTTGAGTTTCTCTTTAAGTAGCTGGAGCTATATCTTTTGCCATATAAAACTACGATTGTCCATTTCCGCAAAATTGCCCTATAAAGTTTTATGATATTGTATCATCTCTTTTTATGATATTGTATCATATACTGCAGGCTACTTTCACTGAGATGAAAACAAAAATGGTCTTTGCTGAAACGAGATGCAGCTTATGGAGTTATAAAGCAAACCTTTCTATTGCTGAAAATTTACAAAAAAATGCAAATATTAACAGCAGCAATAATATGACTGTCTAGAAAAAGTGACATTTTAGTCAATGAACTTTTACTGTGTAAATTTGATGATTACTTTTTTGTGAAACGTGTTTAAAGGGCAGTGTGATTTAGCACACACACACAAAGGCACATATTTGCATTGAGTAATAATAGTGTATGTAATAGTAAAAATAGTGTGTTGGAGCATTTACAACAGATTTATCCATCCATCCATCGCAGAGGGCTGGAGCCAATCCCAGCTGACATCAGGCGAAAGGCGGGGTACACCCTGGACAGGTCTTTTGGTAACTGTTTGTAGTGGCACACAAACAGATACAGCCCTGGTGCAGAGCTTGGAACGCAGTGTTGCCAGTATCATGTCCAGACGCACAAAAAAGCCTCTTGGAGCCATAGCCTAAACCAAACAGGAAGTCGGCTATTTTAAATTTACACACTTTGTACTTTAATTAACTCCTCCTAGGGATTTAGTCCGACGGACTTCAGATTTGTGCTGTGCAGTCTAAACCCATTGACGGTTAAAAGTTGTGCAAACGGTGGGTTTTTGTGGAACGGCGTGCCTGTGGCGTCCAGAAAACCCTTAACACATTGATGAAGCCATGTTGCAAAACTTGTGAGTTTGCAGTTAACGGCGTGGCGGTGGCATGGCGGCGAAGTTAAATTCTTTGCCTTGACACAGGAAGTTGTTGTACATGCTCACATCTGCACAAAACCTTACGTGCTTGATAACAGTTCCACCCCAAACGCATCTAAATGCCAATATTCATTTATAGTCATATCGCCAAGTGCTCTAGAGCGCCACAAAGGGGACACAGGAAGTGACGTATAACTCATTCATCCAATCATCGCATCCAAAGTGTGTAGCAAATTGTGCACAGGTGGAAAGCGACAAATTACAATTACTCACGTTACTGTTATTGAGTAGCTTTTTTATGTACTTGTACTTTTTGAAGTAGTGTTTTAAAAAATATTTTACTGTATTTTGAAGTAGTCACAGGAAATGCAATCTGTTTGTAAGTGACT